TCTCACAATGCCCAGGTATATTTCAGCAGCCATCATGTTTATTTACATTGGATATTGTAGTTCCGATCAGTCTTGTAATTAATACGCTAAGAATTGTGTCTCGTGCGGCATGGTAATTTTAAAAAGTCTCACCAACGACACAGCTTTCAAAGAGGCTATATAATGACAATGTCATGCAAATGTAAATATTGCATGATAAACACCCCTACTAACCTAATAATAACCCATACTAACCTAAAAGTAACCCATACTCTTACTCAAATAGCAATACTTATTCTTACAAAAATAGTAACCGCTATAATGTAAAAGCTTACACAAGTAATATCCCTTACACTATCCCCAAGGTTACCATTTAGCTGAACAAATAACAGCTCATACGCTAACCCCAAACAACAGTAACAAACGGTTGGCATTTGAAACTCAAAAACACTTTCATTTATAAAAAAACAAATGTGTCTTATGTTTTTTTCGTTTAAATTCAATCATATATTGCTTACATTCTCCTTATTTTTATTTTACATCGGATGGATTTGCTGCCGTAGCCTGGCTTTTGATTTTTTGGCAATTTGGATGGTATCCAAAATGGATCAAATTTGGTTTGTAGGTGTTCCATATTCCGATTTTCCTTTTCATATTTTTGCAGCATCTTATTCTAGTTTTACCTCCATATATTTCTAAAATAATATTTTTTTACAAAACTATACAAATTTTGTTGATTGATTTCGGTATTATTTTTCTAATTTCACACAATATAAGTGTTTATTACCTACTTACTACTAAATACGTTTTTTTTGTATATGCGCTATGTCACAATTGCTCTAATCCATATCAGCCCTCGCCGTATCACACCCCAAACCCGTATCAGCCCGCAAAACACGTATCACACCCTTTTTGGAAAATTTTCGTTTATCAAAATTTCAAAAGAAAAATAGATCATAAGATAGAAGATACATCCGTATTTTATTAGTAGGTATGTAATAAACGGAATAAAAGATGCCTTTTCCATATCACATCCAGTATCAACCCTCGACCAATATAAGCCCTCGGGCTGATATTGGAGTCTCGTGTTGATACTGAGTGTGATATGGAAAAAGGCATTTATTTTTCTCTATATATTCTGTCAATTTGATAAAATACAAAAATGTATGTGTATATGTGATTATCTCCATTGACTTGTAATATAATGTGTAATTGTTATTTTACATATGTTTGTCGCAACTTTGTTTACATGTATGCAACTTTAAATAAAGTGTCTTGTATCTTGTACCCTGTATGACAATTTATGAATGATTTGGTAGGAAACATCTGAAACATTATAAGCTTCACGGCTTAAAAATGTTTTATTAAAAGTCTAAGAAAAATTATAACTATTACTTATTGACTATTTCTTATCATGTAATGTTGCTTTACCCAACAAATTCAGAAAAGTCAAAAGTGTTTTGTAGTGTCCACTTGTAAAAGTAATTAGACAAATACCGCTTTCGCTGATTTCGTTTTACAATGAAAATACCAAAGCGGACGGCTAGTGAAAATACTAGTACATAAAGAGGGGATTTGTTTTTTGTCTCGTGTCATTATCTTTATAATGAAGGTCGTTAAATCAATTGACTGCACTAAGATGAATTTAAAGAATGTCCACAAAACAAAATCAATTACTTTTCCTTTCGAAATGCAAAAATTTTCTCTTACGCAAAAAGGTAAACTCATATGTTGTAAAAAGCAGTTTTAGTGCAATTGACGCACCGCTTAAAGTACAACATGAAATAGACGTTACACGATGAACGACTAGGCAGGTATGTAGATATCACTGTGTCGCTTTGAGTGAGGATTTAAGCGGAAATGTTCCTGTGATAACAGAGATAAGACTGGGTGGGTTTTTCAAGATTAGCATCCTGTTTGAGGCCAATCTTTGGTATTTAGCTTTCTGATGGTATTCTGTTGACGCAGATTAACAAGGCTGTCATGAAGCCAGATAAACTGAAACTTTTACTGTAAATAACGGAAGTTGGTCAGACAGAATGGTAGAACATGGTTCAAAAATATTAAAGGCATACAAATTATATTTTGCGCTAGTTTCATCGCTTTTTGGGTTATTGATTTACGATTTTGCTTGCAATTCGTTCGGTACTCTCTGTTGTTGGTTACTCTTCCTTGATCTATTGGTTTCTTTATTACGTGATACTAATGGCCCAGCACTGACACTTGTTTTATTCGTCCACGCCTTGTTTAGATACCGCATGTATTTGGCTTTTTACACACACTTTTGAGCGTGTTTTTGGCTCCAGTATTACTGATGAGATTTTGTGAAAACATGGGTATCTGACCCAGTAAATAATTCTTGTGTCAGGTGACCTTGCAACTTTTCCTGGTGAAACGTTAGATCAGTGCCAAGGGTGTATATAACGAAAGTTTGTGGAATAGATTCCCAGTTTAGATATTTGGTATTTTTAATGACCGACCTTTAAATGAGTAGCTGTTGCCTTCGGTTGTAGCACTAAGAGGAGGATAGTTGATGTATCATAGTATCATACTCGTCTCCCCCTCGATACAACAGCGGTTACAACGCTCACTTGCTTTAGTTTAGTTTAAACATATTTTATTGCCAAAAAATGCAAGAGGATTGGGCACAAGTTACATGAACATTATTAACACCCTTTCCTTATAAGATAAATAATTGTATATACACATCAGAGAGAGAGAGAGAGCGAGAGAGAGAGGAACATTCTTACTTTTATTTACAAATTATGGTATATTTTGAAATTTGGTCATGAAAATGGAACCATCCAGCACAGTCAGCGCAGTGATATCCTGATATCCTGGCACTATTCCATACTTTCAACTATTCAACAGTTCGTCACGTCACGTGCTTTGTGTCTTTCTCCTTCACTTGCGTTCTCTGCACCCTTGTCATTGCAAAATCAAAGGCTCAGTGTGCACCACCTTCTGGACGAGACGATAACACTAGTTTGATTGTTCGATGTACATCAAAATAATCTGTCAGTCGCGTAACGGTAAAATTAACTGGCTTTGAAGTCGGGTGTCCCTCCTCTTTAATCTTCAAAGGATAGGATTCAGACTAGGAATTGGTCAAAAACAAATTAAGATCGAAATTTTAAATACATTCTTCCTTATTACTTATTTCAAGTGACTATATAATTTAAAGATTCCTCTCCAACTGCACTGGTGTTTTTTTTGTTTTTTTTTGTATATACAGTAATCTCCCCTGATTTTGTTTTGAATATGAACCTGAAGCAAAATTGGACCAGGACACTTCCGCTGACCATGTGGCTCAGTCGGTTAGAGCAGTAACCAAACAATCCAGGGTTCGAATCCCGGTCTAGCCCCGCTAAATCTTAAACTCAGAACAATATTGCAATTGTTTTATTTCATCTTTATTTTTTTTTACGAAAATTTTCCAGAAAGTATAGGTTGCTTCCAGTAATGATTATCAGAACTATAGTCATGCCGTTGACATACTTGAACGCTCCAAATGCGAAGTCACAGTTTTTGGCAGTGGTACAGGTTCAGATTTGGCAGTGGTACAGGTTCAGATTTGGCAGTGGTACAGGTTCAGATTTGGCAGTGATACAGGTGTCCTTAAGGACCACCGTTCATGAGAGTGTGACATGGTCAGTAGACGTTGATGTTTTTTGAAATTTACGTTTAAATCTCAGTAAAGAAGACATGCCAATAATTAACGACAATTTTGCATCCTGTAATAGTCTACTTACAGGCCAAAATGTTTAGCTATATCGTTCATCGTGTAATTAATGCATTTATCCCAATGTTGTTTACATTCATTTCTACCGTGTCTGATGCAACGAAAGTTTTCATTTGACAATCGACACAGATGACCTGAAAAATTACACGCGTGTTTAATCATTTACACGTGCATGATATAATAACACGCCATTCCAATAGCTCACTGAGCGTAAACATAAAACAGAAATTTGAGTGCAAATGTTCTCGCGTTTTGAAAGTGAATCAAAGCTGATATATGCGGTGACCTTCAATGTGCTGATAATTGTTTACACAATGCCAAGTCTTATTGAAATTGCTGTTAAGACGTTAACATTAATTAACAAGGCTACAAACTGAAATCGACATGATTAAGTAAGACGTCAGTAACTAGTTTCATGATGCAGTCAAAAACTATTCAAGAAATATTTACATTTGATCTGCATTGCCAATATATAACGCTACTTATGCCAGTTCCGTGTCATAAGACCATAACACACGCCTAGTGATATATCTACGGGTCCGACTAACTACCGGATAATTATTCCCCTGCGCCCTAACAAGTGGATATGCAAAAGAAATTCACTATGATTAAATAGTATTCACTGTTTATGCAAGACAATTATAAAATGTGAATTCAACATATTGATTGATTAAATTATGGAAATAGTATCGATATTTTTGTGTTAATTTCCACGAACTATATGTTTACGGGAAAAGTCACGAGACAGCATTCCGTAAGCAATTGCATGGGCTGTTTAAACTCTAGATCAAACACCGCGAAATTAGAATTTAAAAATGTGTTGTGAACTTAGAAACGAACATTTGAAAAAAATGAAAAAATGTAAATATAAACTTTAAATAGCAGTCTGTTCTGTGTAATGGTCATATAACACGGAACAGAATTGCAGACAATTATTCATAACGAGCTAACGCGCGTTGTTCATTTTGTCTGCAATCCTGTTCCGCGTTACAGGACCATAACACGGAACAGAATGATGTTTAATGCTTAAATGTACACCACAGGGATGCTTTAGATTGATACCCGTAACCGCAGCATTGTATCAAAACGTAAACAACGTGGTTTAAGGCCAGGCTCGAATTATCAGGAGAAAGTGTAAGTGGGGAAAATTGTCATGAATACTAGGAGAAGCTGAGCTCGTGTATGCCAATTAAAACAAAAGATATTCAGAACACTTCGTATTGCAAAAAAAATCTAGGGAAAACACAAGGCGCATTGAACGCAGATGCAAAATGTTTATGAATTTATTGACGTTTACAGTTGAATAACTAAACAAAATAATAACCTAGGTCTTTGTCACATATTGAATCCAACAATGTATATAAGCCGTGTTATATACTTCATCAGTAAAGAAGCATTTCTTACATAGCATATTCGTGTGTGTCGCTTGAAACGAGCAACTTGATAGAACATTTTCGTCAGATAAGTGCAAGAATAACACATGAGTGTGACACGTAAGTAAAGTGTCTTAATTTGTCCCCCAAAGAATAATGTCTTATTTGAAAACCTATTTTCTTTGCCCTTTCCTTTCGGACAAATTGATCAATCACCTATACCACTAGCTCACAATGTCGACTGTATACTTTGATCACATATCTTACATTTCGTTTATATCATGTTAGTTAAATCAAGGAGTGTTTCCTTTCTAAAAACACAAGCATAACATATCTTTGATCACTACATTATTAAATGTCCTAGATATATACCTTTATACATAATACAAATAGTTCAATACAATGACGCTAGCGACTGCGATATCGATATTTGTTAACCCCTGACGACACACCGGAAGGCATCGTTATAATCAGTCTGGGGCCCGATGTTGGAACACCACGATTTTCTTATCCTCCAGACCGACCCACACTTTACCTGCCGCATCACATGACACGACACTAGGTGTCACTCCATCAAACTCCAGCACGCGCCGCTTTAGAACCCCGGATGTATCCACCATTAAAACACACCTAGAGCCTGAGTCACATATCAAAATATTTTCATCAGGGTCAAATGTGACGTCACAAGGACTAAATCCAGATTTTTCGTCCACATAGCGGAATCGGAAACTCATATCTTTGTTTAAAACGACTGCACTTTGAGTAAAATCTACCACGGCTAGCAGAGATGATGGCTGGCTAATAGCCATCCTCTGGGGCTTCTCGAATAACAGTTGCCCTTTAGAATCTTTCTCTATCTCGTCAACCAACAAGCCGTTTGTGCGGTACCTCGCCAGCCGCCCGACATGGTTATTCGTGACAGTGCACATAGACATCGTGATGTACAACAGGTCATCTGTGCTCATACAGACGGAGTAGGGCGTCCAGTCTGTGTGGAACACTGCACGTGCCACCTCATTATTAGGTACTAATACTTCACTTCCGTTAACAGTTACTACAGGTGTGTCTTCAATACCGGAAATGACGTCATTTCCAACGAAACACCTTACACTGTTGTCTTCACACACTAACCATAAATGATTGTCTCTTCCCACACAAATATCCATCACTGTCCCTCCGCATGTCACTGAACGTAACACTGCTCCTCTTTGGTCCGTCAAATGAACAATGTTATCCCAGCAGCCAATCCAAGACGAGTTTACTCCTGCTTTACGCAGTGACCGCAACTGAAAAGGTGTTTTGTGGACAAACTCGGACATGACGTGAAAGGTATTTCCAAACTTTGTTTTTGATGACAGTTCAAGTTTCCCGATATTGCCCCTTAAATCATCGGTATCAGTCTTGCCTTTAACAAACTTGGGTAGAGACAGTTTGGTTCGCTGTCGCCTGGGAAGCGCTTGCTCAACACAGTCATTGCAGATTCGCACTGCTTCCGTCAGCTTGGACAAGTGACCGGAGGAGGTGGCGTCTAGAAAAACGGCCATGTAGCCATTAATATCCTTCTCGCTCTTCTCATAACATTTAATAATCTCCGTTAAAATTTCGTCGTTCCGTTTTCGCATTGCTTCACATTCATCGACATACTCGTTGACAATGTCGTCTACCTGTAACCTGAGATCGTCCCCGCGATCGAGGATCGTGTTCACCAGGTCTTTGAAATCCCTCTTGTTCTTCCGTCTCCCTTCCCGGAGAGCCTCTACCTTCTTCTTCATGTCCGGAGCCAATGACTTTTGGATGCGCTGAATCATGCTGGTGACGGTCGCCATCTTGTTTTCCTTAGCTGTATCTTTATCTGTCACAGAGTGAGCGCTATGTGTCTCGTCAAGACAAAGAAGACAGCACATGACGTCACACGACACACAGAACATGGTCATTTGACCTCCATGCAGTGGACAAGTGTCCGGAATAACACTGTCCTTCCGTCTATGAACATGCAATTTCCGGAACAACGCCATGTCAAATAATTGAGAATTTATGAAAAGAATACTTGTTTTTGCTGTGAAGGAAGCAGTCAGCGTCCGACTCCCTATGACGGAGACTGAAATAGGACCTCTTGCCCTACCGCTACAGAAGTCCTTATCACGGAATCCCACTTAGAGAGCGGAGCGCGCACCACTAGAAATAGAACACACACACCTGCCCGTATCCCTCCTTTTGAGATAGAGGAGTGGATTTGACATTTAAACTGATCATAGAATGTTGTATGTAATCCTACTAATTACCAAAACCCCGGCTAAGATTCTCGTAATGAGAATTCCAATACTCTCAGGGGGAAAATGTTTCTGTCGAAATAACGACCAAAGGAAACAGCATTTAGATATGGCCGACGGAGTCCTGAGCTATTTCCAGTCTGTTAACATCGCTCAACGGTTCTCAAGGACAGGTTAGCCTGGAATGTACGTTCACAAAGTCGTTTTGACTTAACTCCAAATTGTTTTAACAGATCAACAGACTGTTTTATATATCGACCTTCAAAATGTGTGGGTTTCAGATTACTGATCGTTCTCGCTTTATACAAAGGTGCATTATCAGAAAGAGTGACGCTAAGTTAAACCAGTTTTTGTGCATCTAATATTTTTTAAATGAATTATCTTTAAAATGAAAAAATCTATCAGTTTGGTAAGTTGAATTGAAGCGTAACTCCCAATGGATGCAATGTGCGTGTAAAAGTATATCATGTAGCTTTCTTTCCTGCGCTTGTTAAGACACAAAGGTAAATATAAAGCCTTCGGCATCAAAGTAGTATATATGTTACAATGTCACGTTATTTTATCAATATTTCTATTAAATAACTTATGCTGACATAAGGTCCTTACATTTCGTGATTCTCTGTGTGTCAATGATACACACCACGCTCTCCAGACATGTTTCCTTTGACGTCACTGACCTAGATAGTCCGTACTGACGTAAAGCATCACGTGACTTACCAGCGACGTGAGAAAATCATCACACGTCTCAGGTCTCGTACAGCAATCTCGTTTATTATCGTCAGTAAAGATACCCAGACTAATTATTCAGAAACTTTCCCCTGTGTCAGTCCTCAATCAGACCCGCTGTCACCTTAAAGACTAGTCAGCCACACAACAGACGTATCTATACTGACGACGGGCATACAAGTCTGTAATGGTGGGATATTGATCATAGTTGTCTATCTAAAGGGTGAAACGGTCAACAGAAAGCCAAGAAAGTTTAACCTATTTCCAGAGATTTCAAAGAGCTTATCATATTTCTAATACTCAGTTAAAGTGTGTTTATATTTCTCTTCTTTTCAAAATGTGTGTAAATATAAACTTTAATTTGTTTGTAGTCCTCATCTTAAATTTGTCTTTCGTAAAAACGAACAAAAACGAAAAAAAAGGATGAACAAAACGGGATGTTGTTTTGTTTTGAGTCCTCAGCTGAAAAATGTCTTTTGCAATATAGAAACGAATGGAAAAATGAAACACCGTATTGAGCCGACAGCAGAGGATTTTGTAAGTCCTACATTCAGAATAGAATCTGTGTATCTCTGTATCCTCATTTTGAAACTGTCTTTTACAAAAAAGTCAATAATAGGGAAAAATGGGAAAATACGACGTTTTTTCTCCTTTTTTTGTTTGTTCATGCACGTGTATTACACGAAATAAGAGGTCACACGTCAAGTTCCCATTCATAAAATCACAAGTTTCCGATAGGAATCTTGATGCGGTATTGTCTATTCAGCTTTCCAGACTTGGTCGATAGCATCGTGTATAGTAAGTCTTAGTTTATCAGCTTCACACAGCTGAAGGCAGAATGAATCATTTATAAATACCCTAACGTTGTATAGAGCACTTCGATAACCATCAGTGTTTTAGTGCAAAGATTTTACGTCCAATTTCCCACGAAATCGTTTTGAATATACTCTGACAGGTTCCTAAATGTAAGCCCACCAACCAGTTACAAAACCATCCTACGGTGAAAGGGGCCATGTTTTAAAATCTTAACCTTACGCAACCTATGCATAAATTGACTCCCATTTCGAAATCTCTCGAATTGTGAAGTGCAGGCATGGAGCGCGCGATACCTGCAGCGCGCATTCAATTTAACAGATTAGGGTGGGTTTACGTTTCCGCGTAATATAATGACGTAGTTTATTCATCAGACAAATGCGTGTTTGTCTACTCCTACTACAGTACACGGAATTAACAAATCGCAATTTCAATAATACAGTGCACGATGTCATTTTTATTTCGAAATCTAACAGTGCGAGAAGTTTGCTAATTCCTAATCTTACAGTGTACGAGGTTTGTTAATTCCTAGTCTCACAGTGTACGAGGTTTGTTAATTCCTAGTCTTACAGTGTACGAGGTTTGTTAATTCCTAATCTCACAGTGTACGAGGTTTGTTAATTCCTAGTCTCACAGTGTACTTGTCAAAGTACAGTGCATATGGTGTGTTCATTCCAAATTTTACATAATATTATGCATGAGGTCGGTTAAAATTTAATATCTTACATAATTCACTTTACAATGTTTATTAATTTTCTTTTCATAATACACTGCATCAAGTTTGTCAAGGGGGTTGGAAATGGTACGACTCCAGACTTTCGATAGGAGATCCTGAAAAACACTGTGGACTAAACGCTAGATATCCCAAAAGATAATCATAGTCCTGATTTGTAATTCCAAAAAATATTGATAAGCTTTTTCAAAACTTCTAGTCGCCATGGAAGCAAATTCACACAATTGCATTTATAAGGGAGAAGAAATGAACATCCAGTCGACTATGTCATGTTCATACGGCACCTTAGGAGAAATGTTTGTTGACAAGTGTTCTATTTTAGCTGGGAGAAAAATTGTCTAAAACCTGACAAAATTAATTTTAAAAAGCTTCAATTGCATTCTTTAACACAAATAAAAAGTTCCTTAATAGTATTGAGGAAGTTTTCAAAATTAAAAACGAAAGATTCTGCCCATCGTATGTAAATTTGATGTTAATATTTGAGAAGAAGTTGATAAATGTTGAATACATTCTGCCCAAACGTCCTGTCATTGTGTCTTGCAAATCAATAGGTTGAAATTAATCTAAAAATAATTTTATAATTTACAAATTTTACATAATACAGTACTTGAGTTTTTTAATTTGTTTTCTGTTAAGTTGATATGATATTCTCTTGTAGTTTTATCTTTTTAGACATTATAGCATACTCAGATATGATATGACCGGACTGGTTTGTACCAGGGGAGTAGGAATCGCAGTTGTTAGGTGTATCGCAGCGGGGTACGATCGGTAGCTCTTTCGACTGATTTTTTTCGCATTTGTATTATATTTGCTCTTAAATTGGAACTCGATTTTCTCACGAAAAATATAGATAGCGGTGAACTCCCAATGATTACAACTATCTACGAACACATCTATTGACTATAGGGTATTTGGAATGCCGTTTTGGACAAAATAAAACTATATCGATGGTGTTGAAAAACACATAACACATTTTACAATAATTTCCATCCGATTTTCATTTTTTTTAATTGTAGACGGCCCATCAACAATGAAGTCATTTGGGGCCAAATAACACTTAAAACAGGCGTTCACATATCAGTGAAATCGTCCAGTGTGTAATTGGTGTAAGTTATTTTGATTTGTGAGCAAGTTTCTTGAAAACTTATTGCATTAAAAAGCCAAATATGTTTAAATTGATAGGCTTTGGGCGTGAAAAATACAAAAGAAATAACGAACTTCGGGAAATGTTCAAAGAGATATGGCGGGTTGCTATGCCTATTTCCCCAAAGCTATGTTACGCTAGTGCGCGCATCCAACCGTGCACTGTTATGACGCGTCCTCAGGTATTTTTATACAGGTAGCAATATCGGAATCCCGTGTCTAAGAATAGATTATTGTAAACAGACCACATATTTGGTATAGCACTTGATATAATTACTATTGACAGTTGGAGGGTAAAACAATTCATAAATTTCATCAAAAATAGTCTTACCTACAAAGCGTAGCTGTACTGTACACCGTGTACAGGGATTTGTTGACATGTTTTCGATAGAAGTATGTCGCACTAAATAGTAAAGAAAGTATTACTAACAAAACTGATAAATCAATAGGTATGTTATTAAAATGAAAACAAAATTTTCCATCGATTTAACAAAACTATTGCCTTATTAAGGAAAATAATCACATGCCTAAATATTTAAAAAAATATATAACTGAATGAGGATTCGAACCTGCACCGTTTATTTTCGAGTCGCAAGTAAACTGCGTTACACATTCGGCTACATAGAACATATAGATATTGGCAATTACAAACTTATTTAACCCGAGAAACAACGGTCGCAGTTTAGAGAAACTTGATCACCCCTGTTTTTCATTATTTTGAGCACTTTCCCAAAGGAGGACCACTTTTCCGTAATACGATTTGTTTTTGCAAATTACATCACGGTCACAAAAAGTTTATTCAAAAGTTGGTCCTCGGATGGGAAAGTGTTGAAAGTATTTTTTTTAAGTCCGGGAAACCCCATCACTTTCATAGATATAGTGTATATGGCTATATTTTCAGTATCATATTAGCAATACCTAATTTCTCAGCAGTTTAAAAATTCATATTCAATTGGTTTTGTATCTTTTGTATGCATTTTTGCTACCCGAAATGTTTTACTCCTTAATTTTTTCCCCCGTTAAATGCCGACTTAGGGAAATACGGGCAGTTTTCCGCCATACCTCTTTGCAAATTCGAGAAGAACCCAATTATTATAAATACCTTAGTCTCACTTTCCAAACATATGACACTGTTTTCTATTTGTAATTGTGTTGTGAGTGTGTGTAATGTTGTGTAATGTTATTTTGTATTTTACACTAAAAATATTGCACTTTTGTTACTTGTAACTGATGAGTCGAAAGACTCTAAGTAAAAAAGAACTTGAACTTGAACATCAAAGAATATACATCAATCTTCAACCATAAGATAAAAATGTTTAAAAGATGCATAAAACATCAATAGCAGACAAATTGGTAGTAAAACATGTTTTGTGAGATACCGTGAATGTTACTCCTCAAAAAAACGTACAGCAACCGTACAGTTCGGCTGCACTTGTTGGTCTTTCCATCCGGTACATTAAGTGTTACATAACACTTTTCTTCGTTCAGACATGCATATCGAGCACGTGCGATGAAGTCATGATATGTTCATAGAGAGTCTTTAATTACTAGCATTTTCTTCATGCGCCAACGTACGTGTTTTGAGGCAGGAACACCCATATCGTATGGCAAATGGAAATGGCCAAGTCTGTGTTCGGACAAGAACAACCGCCCTGTATTAAATACAGTCAACCATCACCAAGTGACGAGAGACATTTCGGGAATAGATGCAGATAAAACCTACCACTGTAAAGATGTGTATTCTACACAGGCTGCATTAACATGGGGTTAGGTCTCGTCAACGGTATTAAGCCTTATCGACCTCAACATTTAAGTGCGTTCTCCTTGAAACATGGGAGCCACGTGCACACGAAATCAGATTCAAACGAAAACTGTATTGGCAATTCTAACAATGCGATCCGTTAGTGATTTGTTGAGATAAAACATAACGGCACACATTTTGATCCGAATAGTGACGTAACAGGATAAACGGCAGTATTTGGAAACTCGATTTACCTGGCGGATATTCAGTTGAGACATACACATTGTGATTTAATTGCTGATCTTGACGTTAAATAATGTTAGAGTATCCAGGAGGGCGGGAAGCCGCTAAACATACCCCATAGATCAATGTATTCCCCCGTCCTATGTTTGTAGAAACTTGGTGAGGGATTTTATTATCGTACTTGAAAAATCATTGGAACACAATTTAACGACCTGATATCAATTACATTTCTGTACAAGATCATAAAGGTAAGGCCTGTAAACTTTATCTGATAAAAAACGAAAATCAGGAACTAGTTGTTCAGACGAGTTTGGTATGAAACATTCGCATGACGCGCTTCGTGTAAAACGGACGTGGACTCTTCCAAAACAATGAAGAGATCAATATTGCAATAATATGCACAAATAAAAATGATAGTTTTGAGCTCTACCAAGTTCAAAGGAAACATAATAGAAACTTCCAGACTATTTGTCCAAACAAGTTTGTAAATCATCGGCAAATACATATTGATCGAATCCTTACGTATGATTAACATGCAAATATGAGCATAATATGGTGATAAATCCTGCGTAGCTACAAAGCAATCATGTGGGAACTGATGAAACAGTTGTGCAGACAATTCACAAAGGCTATAACTCTGCAAATGATGATACGCGTGCAGAGCGACATGTGCTGCTAGTGGTAAACCTTTCAAAGTATCAAGGAAGTCGAGTGGAAACTATGGTGATGGTCACCGTACTGAAGTTAACGGACGTGCGGGCAAGGTAATAACATAATTCATTCCGAAACGTGTACAAAAATGAAAAACTAAAACTCAAAAATTACGGGGGAACCATATTTAAAGATGACACACTGATTCATTATAGACAATCCGTTCTCTTAATTATTGTACTGAGAGGCCCTTGCTGTAGAGAATGATTTCTGTATAACCTGAGGTAAAATGTCCAACTGAATATACTACACATAATACAAGGTCACACCTATTGAATTAGTAACGCTTATTTATCTGTATTCTACCGCCATTCAAATGAAATCATTGTGCAAACCCCCACCACCACTATTACCACTTGAATCGTCAATGGTGGTTTATTTCAGAGACTGATTAAACTGTAAATCGGGAAAATGTCAAGTGTAATAAACAAAGTTCAGACTTTCTAATGATTAAAAAAGCCAATCACCCTAGTGATTAAACTACCGGTACAAAACGTGACACCATATCAAAATATGAATTTGTTTTGATACTATGGTTAAAACAGATACCTGTTTATTTCAAGAACTCCGCCGCTGATCAAGACATTGATATACAAAAAAGAATGCTAGGGCCAATAAAAATCAAGATTAATGAAAAAAGACACGAAAGTTTTACTCAAAAAATGAAGAGAAAATAAAAGAAACTGGAATAAATTGATATTCTGGTTGCTGTGGCAACTGTGCAATTGCAAATGATTGTTAGTGTTTTTGGTGGGATTAGAGGAAGCCAATTTAGCAGGTGTGATTCCTTGTAGAGATACAACGTTACTTTGTAACAGAGATACATAGGGATTACATATATTTTTTTCTAGAACATTTTCTAGATCTTTGAACATCGAGCAGGAAAATCAAGAAGGGAAAACAAAAAGAGCCATACCCTTCAGCTGATAATGAAGGACGTGGGTACATTTTTATTACAAGATTATTATGATGGAACTTTTATACTCATCGTAGATAGAACTTGTTCATCTGATTTTTATTGTCACTGTTTTAATTATTTGATAAAATATCTTTTTTATAAATGCAAAAGAAACAAACAAAAAATAGAGTACTATTTTGATGTTTCGCATTTTGCTGCTGTTAATAAAACGAAGTGGTATAATGTTAACACCGCATTTGCCATGAAACAGGAAATTGACTGTTATCAGAGATACAAATAGATCATGTTATCATTTGGTTAAATTAGATCATGCAAAAAGTGAGGTGAAGGTTTTAATCAAGTCTCCATTGTAACAGGTCCTTCTTCGTTAAATTTGAATGACCTTTATGAAGCAGTATGTGGTTGACAAATATTTAGTAATGCATAAATTATGAGTTTGTTTTTATTGTCAAAAACTGTAAAACGCACCATGTTCCCTCATCTATTATGAATACAGGTAGTGAAACAAATATCATACATTCTGGATCACTGAATTAAAAGAAAAGGTTTCACGTACCTTGTTATAAAATAAGCATCCAAATAGATTTTATTATACATGCATTATCTTTAAAAAAAAGCTCTCCGATGATTCTTGCCAAGCTGCATTTCTCCCAATTGGAGCCTCAATTTACCTCCTTGTGATGTTCCTCTTCTTTGATTTACTACAGATGGCTTTTTGCAATTTGCACTTCAGGTGAGGTACAAAAAGGGTTAATTGAATATTAATTGCTAATAGGAGTTGAACATTAACTATTTATAAATATTGTGTTTTTGGAACAAAAGATTGAGCAATAAAATATAGAATTCATTTATTTACACCTGCTAAAGGTAAATCTGAATTAAGAGACATATCAATATAAAATTGTACATAACAGAAAAAGTTTGTGAGATCTGAGTTGACCTATTGATAATATCAGCGATGCTTAGATGAACAAGATAAATGAGGTATAATGTATTACAGAATCTGTAATTAAGAAGCTTATGACTACATTTCAATATGATTTTTTTTCTTCAAATTTATGGATAAACATGCACTGTTGGAGGGATGTAAAGTTTGTGATGGTTACGATAACACACAGATTCCTTTGTCAAATGATCAAAAATTTAACAGTTTGTTGTTAAGCTTAATGAAAACAATAGTTACCTGATTTTATTACAGGTTTAATTTCACCTGTTGTCTCATCTTACGTGTTGATATAGGTATATGTAGGTATATCCAGATATCGACAGGTGTACGTCAGTATCTTTGAGATTATCAGAGATTTTTATTATCACTCAGGCACACTATTGTGCGCAACAAGAGGTCATCATAAAGTACAATATAACAATGATATGGTTGACCGTAAAGCAATCATCTTACTATGCTAGCGTACAATAATATAGTGGAAACTATTACACTCCTCATACAATGATAAACACAATATTACACTGTACTATCATACCTTATTATAATAGACAGTATAACGCACTGATCATACAATGACACTCATCATACACTGTGATATACATTATTACACTCATTTTACAATACTATTACGATGGTATAATACATAGCATTACATTCACACATACCGTGCGTTCACACTATGGTATAGCAGGCACTGTTGCATCCATCTTACAGTACAATCCTACAATAATATTATTACAGTATTACACATATATTACTCGCACTCCATGATACATATATTATAGATAGTATACCACACCATACAGTGCAATCATACCATGGCATAATAGTGACTATACTACTCATCATACCATATAATATTACAAAGGTATAATAGACAGTGTTACAATCCCATCATACAATACTGTAATAGACAGATAACAAACAAACCATGATAAGCAAGCTGTAACCACACTCATTATGCAATACAATTATGTTAGGTTTAGCAAATGATCAGTAATATCTATATGTATACAAAAGTTTACAGTTTGATGTGTGAAATTCACATATTATTTTTTAATTGTCTTTCTAGTAATTGTATGAACAGCGATAGATTTGATAATATTCTAACATTACATATTGATATTAATCCTTTCATTTTATGAACAGATGGATTAGAGGTGTAATAAATAGGTATATATTTTCTGCGGATTTGACTTACATAAGCATTTGAACATATAAACAAATAATGATACTCGCTTCCAACTCCAGTAAAACAAAGCGGACAGATTCTGCCTTCACGTGGTGTTCTAGTCCATCGCCCAGTCTCTATAGGCAGAGATATATTACTGGTTCTGAACTTACAGATAGTTATTCTATCTTTTTGTTTGAGCATAGTTAAGTATTTTTCAAACTGAAATTGATGTTTAAATATTGCATATGTTTGACCCCGGGAAGAATTTTCAATATCAGTATACCATTGTTGTATAAATTGGTCATACAGAATAGTTTTAAAACTAACCCTAAGGTAATTTTTATTCATAGTGCAAGTTTTTTGTTGTAACCATACGTAACTTAGTCCCGTGCAATTGAATAGATTCTTGATATATGAAATCCATTTAAAATCAGCGAAATCATTTTCATGTAAATTCAGCATAAGCTTGTACATTATACTAGACAATTTATTTTCACCTGTAATTAGTTTATACCAAAACATTATCATTCTAGATTTAATTTCAATATTCAGAGGGTACCTACCCGTTTCACCATATACCATTATATTTGCTGTGGAGCTACGTATGTTTAAAATTCTTTTACAAAACTGTACATGTAATTTCTCAATCATATTGGTATTTTCAAACCCCCAAATTTCTGAGGAGTACAAGAGGATTGGGGATATTAATACATCAAACAATTTTAATTGTAGGTCAATTGGTAAAATAATATTTCTTATTTTTTTATATAATGCATACATTGCTTTTTGAGCCTGTTCAACAAGTTTTTTTCTTGCTTTACAGAAACTGCCATTATAATGAAACAGCAGTCCTAGAAACGAGTAACAGTCATGTGTTTGCAACTCTTCACCAAAAAGAGTAAAACGAATATTTTGTGCATTACTTTTTCTTTTTTCAAAGATAACAACTTTAGTTTTATTGAGATTAACTTTAAGTTTCCAAATAGTACAGTAAGTTTCAAATTCACGGAAAGCATTCTGTAGACCTTTAGCTGTTTCAGACATAACAACTGTGTCATCTGCATATAGCAGAATAAATAATTTAACAAATATACCCATGCGATCTTGAAATAAATTATCAATATAATGGAGTTGGTCAACATTATTTTGCATTAAAAATTCTTCTAAATCATTTAAATATATTGAGAACAAAAATGGGGAGAGATTTTCACCTTGTTTTACCCCGACGTGACATGTGAAAAAATCAGTCATACCATTGCTAGTTTTTACGCAAGATTTAGTGTTTGCATACAGATTAATTATAGCATTAAATATCTTTCCTGTGATATTATTTTTTAATAATTTCTTCCATAAACCTACTCTCCAAACAGTATCAAACGCTTTTCTGAAATCGATGAATGAACAGAATAGCTTTTTACTTTTTGAAAAGTATATAGATATTAAAGCATGAAGGATAAATATATTTTCAGTTGTAGAATAGCCTTTCCTAAAACCAGCTTGAACATTGGAAATTAGATCAATTTCTTCTGAAAGTCTATTTAATCTAGAGTTCAAAATAGCAGTAAATACTTTGCCAAGACATGAGACTAATGTAATAGCTCGATAGTTATCGAGATTTTTAGGGTCACCCTTCTTTTTGTATATGGGTTTTATTACTCCAATTGTCCATGCTTCTGGTACACGGCCAGAGTTCAATATAACATTAAAAAGTTTAACATATATAGGTAGTAGTATAGACTGTGTATTTTTGATATGCTCATTTAATATATTATCGATACCCGGCGCTTTATTATTACGAAGGTTAACTATAACCTGTCTAATTTCATTTTCAGTCACATCACTATTTAGTATAAAATCAAACATATTTTCATTCATATCTGGAATAATAAACTCATCCTCATCTTCATCTTCATCTGAACTATTTAATTTCTTGAAGTATTCATATAGCTCGTCCAAAGATATATCAGCATCACTGTTATCATTTTTAGATTTATTGAATGAATTTAAAATATTC